TCTACTTTGTCTCTTCATAAATTAGTCAACTACAACAATTAAAAGTAATGCATTTGTTGATAGGGTGAACTATTTTAACCAAATTATATTAAAAAAAATTATATTTATTGTTGCTCTTAGAACCCGTTTGGAGAAACAACTTATTTAAAGTCTTATTTAATAAGTTCTTATGTAATAAAAACTTATGTTGTACTTAAAATTGAACAAGTTGTTACATTTAAATATACATGTTAACAAATACTTATATCATTTTAAAGTGTTTTAATGTATCATTATTTAAGTATTTATAAGATGTTATCTCATTTTAAATATTAAAAAAATTACCTATTAAATTTTAACTGGAAGTAAAACAAAAAATATAAAAATAACTAAATAATTTTTAAAAATACATTATACATCACAATAATATTAAAAATGATAAAAAAAAATTTCTAGTCACCATTCACCTAATTTTAGTTTATAAAAAATAAATTTAATAATAAAATATGAGGAATCAATTTTATATATATAACTATGATTAAAAATTAAGAGCCATAAATTTTCAAAATAAAAATCAATTCTATATATTTTATAAAATAATGATTAAAAAATATTGTATAAATATCAACAACAAATTATTTCAAATGTACTATTTTAGAGAGAAAAAAAGTTATGAGATTTTTTTTTTTATAATAGGGGAATGTGAGTTTTGGGGGGAAGAGATGAAAAAAATTGAAGAAGAGAAAAATAAAGAGAAATAAAAAAATTTGGATAGAGAAACAATAACTTTTGGAGGAAATAATAATGAAAAAATATGTGTTTTTAGTGGAAGAGTGAAAAAAAATTATATAGATAACAAGATTCAAATTTATGTATTTTTTGATAAATTCTTGAATAAACTAAGTAATAAACTATATTGAATAATTTATTAAAATAAATTTAAAATATTTTATATACTTATAAGATATTTTATAAATTTATTTAAATACTCTTATAAACATTTATAAAAATAAAATAAATAGAAATAAATTATTTATAAATCCTGTGAAACATAACCTCAGTGTGAATGCCGCCATCAAAATAGAATAATTAATTCACATTTCCAAGTTTGAGCTGTAATTTGCATAATTCATGTTTAACATGCTTATTTCTGTCATCGATACAAGCTTGGCATGTCCTTTTCTTTGCAACTACGAAACGACTTTTAGATTTACATATCCTTTACCATACACATTTATGAACCATTTTAAAATATAAAAGACATCTCCTATCACATGATTAATTGTATATGCAAACCACCTTTCTGCAACCTGAAAAGTGACCGAAACTAAAGAAAATAAATATGTTATATATATTAAAGGCTAGGAGAGGAAGGTGGGTGAATGGTAAAATTGGGTCAAGAAATGAATGTAACAGATACAGGAGAAAGAAGAAGGCACATGAAGGCAATGAAGGAAACAAAGCTTCAGAGAGAGCCAATATGTTCAAATCTAATCATCCCTTTTTCACTCGTCATTTGTTTCAATCATACATCCAACATTACTTGGTATATTCTTTTGTTATCCCTTCGGTTTCGCACGTTTTACAATCAACACATTTCTCTTCAATATAATTGCTAATAACATTTTAATCCTCTTCACAAAATTCAAAACATCTGAATATCAGTAAGTTTTTTATTATCAATAAAAGTATTTTATTCTCCATTCTATTTATTAATTCTATTCGCTCTTTTTATTAATAAAAGTTTATTTTTGTCCCTTAATTTTTAAAACAATTTAGTATATATATATATATATATATATTCCTATATTTTCATAAATAAATTTTTTTTCTAATCATTGTGAATGTATAAGGTTAATAGTTATTTAAAAAAGTCAACAGTGAATATAAGAGTTTAATTAACATGCATTACTGTAAAAAAAAGAGATATTACTGTTGCTATGATTTTATACTTAATTATTTATTATACTTATAATAACTTATAATAAATACTAATTGTTTATGATTAAGCTACGGTATAAAGTTGGTGCATTACCTTACATTTTCTTCTTAATAAAATAGAATTGATTTATAACCAGCAAATAAATTTGTCCTTGCAGTGGGGTGCGAGTTAATTAAGATACGCAGACATGCCGTGTCAATACCCAAAAAATGAAGGTCCGAATTGCGTGCATGCATAAATTCGGGAAAGAAAGCCATTTGCTGGCAAGCATGCATGGTATGTACTCGGGACACAGGATTTGAACATCTGAAAAACAAATGAAACAATTTCATCATAGTTGGCATTCAATTAATTACATGTTGTCAAAAAATTCAACTAGGCTCCTTTTTTTTTTCAATACTAGGACTATCAAAGTCTCTTGCCCTCGTGTGAGAAGCATTTTCCAAGTGAAAGATATAATTCCAAAATCACAACTAACACTCCAATATGAACTTCGTCGATCATTGAACACCTCACATCCACAAGAAATTAGACCAAGATAGAATATAAATAAATAGGAGGATAACTTTTACCTTAAAAATTATTTTATGAAGTTGAGTTAAGTCTCAATTCTTTAATAATGGTACATGTTAAATAAAGTGAATTTAGAAAATTTTAAATTTCATCTATCATAAATCCATTAAAATGAGTGGTAACTCGTTATTTATCTTATATCAAGTCTAATAGTGTCTAAGGATGTGGAAGTGTAATAAAAGATAAGATTCAAATATAATTATTTATATATACTGTAGATCTTATTAAAAAAAAAATCAAATCTCATTTATCCCAAATACATTAAAATGGGTTGCACATCATTTAATAATACACCAAATCAAATATTGTGTAATAGTGAAAAAATGTATTAAGAAAACTCAAATCTCATATCATTTATATATAAAATCAAGATGTAATTATTTATATAAGCCAAAGTCCTATTTCGATGAATAAAAAAGATAGGATATAATAATATACGTTTTTGATATTGTTATTAATATAAAATATCAATCAATCTTGCTGATAATTAATTTTCATAAAAAAATTTAGTTAACTATCTTTAATATTGTCACACCTCCCATTACATTTTTTATTTATTTATAAAACTCAAATATTAAACTTTACTTAAAGAGACTAATTTTAATTACACATCGAGAAATGTTTGTATATGTGTATTAAAACGTTGGAGTTATACATATTCAAACAATAATTTATATACTATTTTCTTCCTTATTTTTCTTGATCTCAACATTAATTACATCTTATATTTTCTCCCTTTTACCGGAAGATTTGTTTTACAAATTATAATACAAATAACATTAAACATAAATGTTGTGCGCGAATTACAAAGTTTCTTCCCCTGACGTGGATTTAGGGTTAGGAGAACTGAAAAACAAATACACTGATAGGATTAAAATAGGCAAGTTTCTTCCCCAATTTTTTCTCAAGAAAAATGGTGTAAGAGTTAGAGCTTGTTAGAAAAAAAAAATTCTGCATGCATAACAAACTGATGTATTTGGGACATAATATTTTCCTGACATTTGAATAATGGTGTTGTAATCAATGCAACATCATTCCATCTCACTTTATCTGTGCATGTGTGCCGTGTGCGTTGCCCTTATCACACTAATTCTCACGCTTTGAGTGATTTTATTGCCTCATGCTGCAAAGCATGAGCCTAACTCGGCAAAAAATTAACGTTATATATACAATTCTTTCAGCAAACTGGAGTATTTAACGGTTTTTTGGGCAACTTTTGTTTGGTTTTCTTCTCTCTCTTTCTTTTCTATAGATGCATGTGGCGAACAGAAGTGACTAGACTTGAGCTACAATTATAGATTTAACTCTTTTTTTCTTTTCCCTGTCTGGTTGTTCCTCCAAAAAGCATGAAATTCAGTCAACTCGATTGATCTTAATATAATCATGGAGATTGTCCATGAGATAATCTTGGCTAAGCCAGAAAAATAGAAATTTTCACTATAAGGATGACGGAGAAATAGAAGGGTAGACAACGATGCAACTTTATGTAAAACACTTTCTCCATAAACATGATCAGCACTGGTAAAAAGGTTTAAGGAATTGGAAATTGGAGAAAGAAAAAGAGGTTATCGTAAACACAAAACAAAAGGGTAGATGAAAGAGAAAGGGAGTGGTATGTCTCAATCAACTGAAGGTTCTGTAGCACATGTTATGGGCCAGTTATTACAAAACTAGGGAAATTTTCTCTGGAGTTTCTGATTCTTCCTTGTGCACTAAAACAAGCAGTCTATTAAAGTATCATTAGCCCTATCATATCGTATGTACCTTGACCTATATCATTGGGCGCAGTACACACTTATATGCATAAACATACATCACATGCACATACTTTTAGAAGCATTAAAACGTTATGAGCCAAAGAAGACGACTTTTCCAACTCAAGCAAATGGAAGTCACATCCCTGGATCATGGATGTCTATTCCTGTGGCTAAGTTTTATTGTTTTCCAGAGAAGTAGTTGGTGTAAATGCTAATTGTAATTCTCCATTTATACGTAATGTAATTATGCAGATTTCGATCTATCGAGGAGGAAAAAGGTATAGAAAGTGAGCCATTCAGTGTTATCGATCGATCACTAGATTGCTAGAACGCCAAGTTACCAATTAGAAATGCATGGGAGACAAGAAAAGATGGACCGTGCGTTGCCCGTTTCTCCCAATAAATCGTGCAAAGTTTTTTTCATATAAAAAAAAAGTTAAAGAAAAAACGCTTTTAAAATTCTATGATGAACCAAACACGAAACCTACTTCGTTCTATTTGGATCTGGCAAGCAAACGGAGAAACGGGAAAAAGCGGCTTCGAGTTCAGCACCAGCCAGAAAGCTCACTCAACATTAACCCAGAAAAAGAAAAATACTATAAAGAAATCAAATCACCCAGCAAAACAAAACTTAACATAATAATGCACACATATCCAAATGCTGTCCATGTCAAGGAAAACACACCAGAGCCCCACACTCACGGCAAAATGAAATTGTATGTGCTCTAGAATTTGAAAAGTGGTCGAGTTTACCCATAAAATCAAAATAACGATGAAAATCTGAATTGACATTCGGATAACACATAACAAGTATCCCCGGCGGCCCCTTTAATTTCATGCACTAGAATCATTGCCACAATCATTTTTTTTTTAATAAAAATTCTTAACTACTTTTCCTTCTAACTAGCTAGCCACTACTTCAGCCTGCGTAGTTAAGATCAAATGGATATACCGAGGAACAAAGATAATCAATAACTCTAACATGAGTCAATTAATGACAAAAAAATAAGAAAAAGGAAGGAAAAAAAAACTCGGTTTCAATAATTGTCCGCATAGATAGAAAGACACGTCTTTAGGATCTCGGGGGTTGGTAGAATTGCGTACCACCAGCAATGAAAGCATTCAGCGGAGCCGGGTAAAGTGAAGGTTCAAACGGGTTCCCACCGGTTGTGGCTGTGGTTGCGGCGGTTATTAAACCAAGTTGTTGAGGTTCACCACCGGAGGAACCCTCAGCCGGTGCACTAGTGTAAGAACTTTCGGGGCCTTGGTCGTAGAGAATTCCCTTGAAAACATGCCCTCCGATGTTGACAGAGGTTTGATACGCACACTGTTCATCTGAAGCGTCCACTGCGCTCACTCTCACACACCGAAACACCGCCGAAGTGTTCACTTCAGGTGGGAATTGCCCCAGCTCTAACCCTAAGTCATAATAATCAACAAATTAATTAAATCAAGTTATTAAAAAAACTAGACAAGCCTAATTAACTTGTGCCCTCCATTTTCCAATTATTATCACAGAATAAGAAAATAAAATAAGATTAAAAAAAAAAAGTGTAGCCAAGCCAACGTCTCACATGGATGGAACTTAAAACAATTTCGTCAGTTTTACTTAAAAACAGTGACGGAATAGGGAAAAAGAAGAAAGATAGGGACAGAAAAAACAAGAGCCAAACGTGATGGGTGACCATGGAGCTAGCGGCGTTGCATTTTCTGATTTTATTTTTCAGTCAAATTATAAAATGGACTAGTTAGGTGTATGTAGTCAAGGAATAAAAGACTAGAAGTTGAAGCCATCAAGATCTTAGTGCATCTGTATGTAGTCATGGAAGAGTAATTGAAAATAGTTGAAAAGTAGTGATGGAGGCATAAGAGGAGGAAAATTGAAGTGTATGTTTTCCATGTAATGTAATAATATGGAAGTTGGTTACCTGCGGTAGTGATGGGTTGAGAAGAGCAGGCAAGTTGAGAGTCTCTGTGTCGTTTAGGAATATTGTCTCCCCCGCATAGTTGTGGGTGGTGCGATGCAGCGAGTAGTTGTTGTCGTTCGCGGCGTTTGGCTGCGGGAACCCAAGTGCTCTTGACGTGGGTTTGGCACTGAAACCCTCGGCTCTTGCAGCAAGTTCTGCATCTGAGATGCGCACAGTCTTTCTTGGCTTGGTTGCCACAGTCCTGACAGTTGACGCCACCGCTTCCTGAGCCTCCAGACCTCATCACAGTTAATCCAAATCTAGTTGACTCATCCGACACGCAGAACGACACGTCCTCCTCGTTCACGCTCCTGCGACTAGGACCCACTCTAAACGCAAAGTAGTTGCTCATGTTGGGGTGATGATACGCTTGTGCCTGTGGCCATATCTCGAACCCCTTGTTGCTGTAGATCTCCTCGTTCCTGAACAACAATAGGTTATTCCTGTTAGTGTTACTATCTCCTTTTTCTCCCTCTCCCTCTCCCTCTACCTTGTTTTGTGGGCCTAGAGAGAACAACCCAGCCATTTGTTGCACCTGCACCCCCAAGCTGAAACGGTTATCCCCAATTCAGACACAATATCCATAGCATCAGAACCTCCGCCAATCTTAAAATACTCTACTAAAGATCCCGCCTACAGCTGTAATTTTTCGCCTTAATTAAGGCTCGCTTTGCAGATACTACCACAACACTACTAGGTTTGCTTCCTATAGTTTTAATTTCACCCAACCGATTTTTTTTTTGTCTTGTTCGCTCGCACTAGGTCGCCGTGTTTTAATTTGTTGTGTGTGGGGGCGTCTCTATTATGATCTTCTCTGGGCTGCTGGTTGGGTTTTTGCAGCTTTTGGGGGAAACTGTTTCTCAACCAAAAAAAGAAAGGAAAAAAGGTAAATTAAATTTAAAAAAAAAAAAAAACAATTGGAAAATGAGAAAAGAAAATAGGATGTGGAGTTGGTGGTCTCTCGGAAGCAATTATGGCACGGAATTAGAGCCTCTGCTACGCCGCCATCGTAACTGCACCCATCTACTCTACTGTGCAAGCCTCATTTATGAATTATGGTCTCACCAATTCAACACTACTATCTCTCTCTCTACTCTCTTGCTTTTGCTTTTGTAGAGTACTGTATCCTACGCTACTCAAGAGGAATTTAGGTTGGCCTTGCTGCCATGAACTGAGAGTGTGTTACTGTTACGAGTGTTATGTGAGGAGGGTGAGTGAGAGAGGGTGTGTCATGTGTGCGTGGGGGAACATGAAAATCTATCACTCAGCATTACTCTACAGTTCTCTTTCAGTTTCAATAAATCTCGGCCGGGATCAGTGAACCTCATCTTTGCTTTGACCATCCAATGGACCATATTCATCCACGTGTCACATCACCAGCTTTTGCTTATTCGTCCTCGCACCGGAAAACCCGCTGGTACTTTCTCTGACCGTCCCCATAAATTAAGATTTTTTTTTCCCTGATTTTTAACGTCTCTGAAGCAATCTTCCCTATTGTGGAATACTAACACTATGCATCACTCAACCATCAACATGCATCTACGTCCCTCGTTTCACCACATACGTCTCCATCACCGCTCAAAACTATCACTTTGTCATGAAACCCCAATCGGACGGTAATCCACCAATATCGATTCTTTCTACAGCTTTTTGGAGGGAATAAAAATAATATATAAATTAATTACTGTAATTCAATACCCATATTCTATGGCTCAAAGCAAGTTTATGCTTAAATCGTAATTTTTGTTTAATGAATATTAAAATATTGATTAAGGAATTTTTTTATATGCTAGTACTACTGAATTTTTTGTCAATACGTGTTTAATTAATTTGAAATCTCTTAGTAACATTGATTTGGAAATGAAGGGAGGTGAGTGTTGGGTGTAGTGTATTGTCACCTACCTATTGAGAGTTATTTATAATTTGGTTTACCTGTTATATATCTGTCCCATGCCTCGTATTCCACCTCAAAATTCTTCGCATAATGATTATATGATTGACTTGCAATATGGCATAATAATATGTTAACAGATGGAAAATGTATTTGGGGGCATTAGAAAACAAAACAGTTTCGTCGCTGAGAGGTCAACACCTGTGATGCAAAATTTGGCCAGACACAAGCCAGGAAATAAATCCCGTGTCCTCTACATGAAACTCGCACACGGGCCTCGGTAACAAGTGGGGTACCGGAAGCGTGTTGATTTTAAGCAATTAAAAAAAGGAGAAAATTAATTGCATTGAATTCTTGTGTGCTTGGAGGATACTTTATTATTATTGTTTTTCATCTAATGGCACTTTCGTTTGTTTCCTCTTTGGGTGTCTTGGCGTATTTACGTGCATATGAGGTTCAAATTAAGATTCTACCAACTTCTGCCGAAATCGTATTAATTAATCAAAACAACTTTCTTCCATTTAGGTCTTCCATCGTGGAGCATGCATCACACGAAACCTCAACAACAGGGACACTATTTCACATTTCATGCTTGTTGTATCTTTAACGGTGGATAAAATATTCATTTCTCCTCTTTGTTTCTTCCATATGCTCAGCAACTAAACCTTACACTTTTCCCATCTTTTTCAGACTCTTATTTTCCATAAAGAAAAAGTTTCTTCTAGATAATACATAGAATGATCAAGATTATATATATACACACACACGCAGAGTCAGCCTTTAATCACGATTAACTCACACCTGAGAAATGAAACTAAAAAGAGCAAAAGGAAAATATTTTTTTAAAAAAATAATATACAGTTGAATATATTGCAATGTATTTTGGTTTAAGTGACTAAATTTGAATGGACTGAAAAATACACGTATATATGGGACTGCAAGGGGAAATTAATTAATTTAGTAATGTAAATAAATATATAATAAAATGTGTTTTTTCCATTTAAAATATTTTGAAATTTAGTTTGTCATTAGAATTTTAATATATATATATATATATATATATATATCCATACATTTTCCAAAAGTTATTATTTTTTTTTGTGTAAATGCCAAAAGTTTAAAAGGCCAAAAATATAATTTACCCATGAATATATATTATTGGATGTTTGGTTAGGCACCCACATATATATAAATTCAATTTATGATTGCGTTTATTTTCTGGATTAGGGTACAATTATGAATTTAATTTATTGTATATTAATAGAGCAATCTTCGCAAAAAAGACATGTTTTTGACCACATTAAGCAATTAAATTAGTTCAAGTGAGCTTAGATTTCAAATTCGGTATACATTAATACTATAATTTTCATGCAAATGAACATACGAGCCGTTTCAACAAATGGCTTAGGACCTATATATTAGAACATGTTAAAGATCTGCTTAAATTCCCCATGTGTTAACTCGTTATATAATTAGCTTTAAGCCTTTAACGATTGTGATCCTACAATTATCTGCAAGTAATAAGTATATGCATTTCACATATGCTTTCAAATTTAGGAACAACTTTTAAAATAGATAAAATTATAAAATGAGATATACATATATATGTTATAATAAGTTAGGTAAAATTTTGAAAATGTAGATTATAAAAACTTTAACACTAATGCATAGACAAATACATAATTAAATTAAAACTTAATTATTAAAATCACTCTCAATAAAATATATTCGAATTCGATTTATAGAGAAGGGGACTAACACATTAATATTGTGTATCAAATTTCAAAATATTTAAACAACTACAAACACATGTGATGAATATATTCACTTGTTTGACATCTTTATATTTTTGGTCTTAATATAAGTTGACAGACTATAAAACAATATCGATCGACGTGCAATTTTATCGATACGCGTTTAATAGATATTAAGTGTGCATTTCGTTCACTTAATCGGTATATTTTGTAAAATACTGTAATTACTATATATGTAGTGTAGAAAAAAGTTTTTAGTGTTAATTAGTATGGTGCCAATTAATGAATATGTTGACTTGGGGTAAAAATAATTGTAGTTTATACACAATGCTTTTGAGGTGGCAATGTTGTCAATAATCACCTTTCCTTTTTTTGCGCGATCGATTTTGTTGTCTCATGGACCTCGTGCCTCTGAATCTACGGTCGTATTTCCTACAGCGTGCATAGCAAGTCGTATAGTAGATTTGTAGTATATATGGTTCTTTCATAATAAGTGATTTATAAGTTAAGTATATAAATTCCTAATAAGATTATTAGTTTATCATATTTTAAAAATAAGAAAAGAAACCCTTGGTCCCTTTTTAAAAGGGAGTGCCCTATGTCCACCGTACGTAGATGCAAAATAAAATGTAAAGGTCTCAGATATGATTAACTATCACGTGAACCAACAACGTAATTAATTTAAGACAGGTAAATAATTGGAATTAATCATCCATATGCTATCGGTGTAAAATTTTTTACATTAATAATTAATTATATTTTTAAATTATTTTATTTTATTTTTATTTTATTAAATGAGCAACTGGTATGATGCTATTAAAAAATATCAATTATCAGTATTACAAAATTTTACACTGATAGTATATAAGTAATTATCTTAAATAATTGGCCCCAATAATATAACGAAACCAGGTAAGAGAGGTAAAGGACGCGACCTAAGGCTGCTGAGAGCGGCTGTATTGTATTTGTTCAGAGTCTAAGCTAAGCTAATCTGTTTAAAAAAATTAATGCCCAATTAACCAATGGCAAATACCAATATACTATTCTATCATTCCCAAAACCAAACTTTGAATTCTAAATTAATTTGTTATTTGGGGCCCGAGGAAACAAATCATCTGCTCCTGTTCCTCCTTGCCTTTACACTCTCACTACTATTTTACTATTATTAGACAAATTAGTGGACAAATTAAAATGATTCTCTCATGTCTCAATCTTTGATGGAACCTTTCTTTCAAGTTTCAAATGAAGCCGGAAGCAGGTCAACAAGGCCGACAAAACTAAATTAAGACTCAAGTGATTAGTTAGAGGTCTCGCAAACTCAAGTGATTAGACTTGATTAAGTATTGAATGAATCATTGGTTATAAAGTTTATTATGACTCGTATATAGTCGCTGGCTAATCGAGTGGAGGATTACAATTATTAAGAACTCCTTAAGATGCCATGATTGTTGGAAACAGGAGAGCTAAAGGATTGAGAAGACGTAACCTTGCTATTTTTTCTTTTTATATTTTTTCTTTCTCCGTCGCATATGAAATTTCACATATCCGGTTCCCATCATGATTGGATTGAAGACCAATTTGAAAGGCGGTTCGGGCTGTCCCTAACAATTTAATTTACCTTGCTTAAGTAGCCATCATTATCGATCTTGTTTCTTCTTTTAAACCCATCAGAATCTTGCATTACAATATAGATGGTTTTTCTTTTTCAGTTTTTAATATTTTTGGTTACAATAAATTTAGATTAGGAATAAACGAATTTGATTTCAAGTGCTACTTATTACGTGAAGAGATTTAACTAGTTTCCATTCTTGCAAAACTGAGTTTTAATATTTTCATCATTTTAAATTATTTATATTATTTTTCTGAGAGAGATATATATATTTTTTATTATTGAACACTCTCAAGATATATAGTTAAAAATTAATTTATTACTTGAAAGAAAGAAAGAAAGAAAAAAAAAAGCAATTCATGCTTTCCTTAAAAATAATAATGACAAAATAAGTAGATAGTTATCTATACTAAATTTTTAACCACATTTTGATATCTTATTTTGTAGGACCATTTTATCTATATATATATATATATATATAATCTTTACTTTTCCTTCATTCTTTTTTGACATTATTTTCTTTTACTTCTACCAATATCTTATTTTTACAATTATCTCTACTCCCACCTACTACTTACACAAAAATCATTCATTCTATTCTTTTTTAATCTGTTTAAATTTTTTAAAAATTAGAGATACAAAATATTCCTTTTTCTTAATTATTGATAGAGTCGATATTTACTTTTTTTATATATTTTTTCTTATTTTATTCTCGAGAGATGAGAGATAGCTAGTCAGAGAAAATGTTAAAATATAATATATAGGATTATAAAAGGTTTTAATAAAAGTGAGAGATATTCTAATTATATATTATTACAAATATCTTACGTTAATAATTTGAAATTGTATAATTTATTTTACTAATTAAGAGAGTCTATCTCAGTTGATTGGGTAAAGTGTAAAAATGTTATAAACTCTTTTAATACCTTGTTCAATTCTTTTAGATAAAAAAATAAAATATTTATTTAACTTCATTTTAAAAGAATATTCTGCAAATTAATAATTAAAATTTAAATACATTTTTAATTATTGAAAGTAGGAAATTATTTCTAAACAATATTTGACTATAATGATACGATTGTAATTTCTCACAAAAGACCAAAATCAAATACGTTTTATAATTTTTAAACTCTAAACAATTATACATTACATACA